GATGAGAAGAAACGATCAGCGTCCACCTTGGAGGGTGCCGATGATGAACGCCGTCTCGCAAAAGGAAATGAAGATAGAGTCAAAGAAAATCAGCTGCGGCAGAAGTTACTTGATGATGATCCAAAATGCAATATTGAGAAAGGTAAGAATGAGATCAATATTAGTTTTTGGGCATTGGAGTGCCAGTATGTATTGGAATGAGTGATGTTCCAGACACACTCCTCTTCCCCAAAAAATTCTCTAATTGCCTACAGTTGGCAGGAAAATGTGTTGTTATAATGATTTGCTTGGCTCTAGCTCTACACACACATTTCAGGAAAACTCCATGTTGGGTTCCCTGTTGATATAACCACCTTGATAGCTCCACACACAAAGTTACACCAGACCCTTACGAATCATGAAAAGCCAACTGGGAACTAGAGGCCAAAACCTGGTCCCGCCTCACTTAGGTACAGAGAGTAGAGGATGATAAATCACTAAATGAGAAAATACCCACCAGGAAAGTAGAGCAAGACAAAATAGACAACATCACGGTAAAAGTAAATATGACAGAAAATGAGACACACACACAGTAGTAGTTAGATAGTTCAACTGCTAGTGTGTTTATGACATACAGTACTGTAATTGTCTTTGCTGATCTTTGTCTAGTTATTATATTATTATATAATACATATACTCCTGGCGGAAGGCGGATTGGGCGATGTTATTTGGTGGAAGCCAAACAAAGTTTGGCTTCCGCTCCCAAAAGAGTACCAACGATGCAGTTATTAGTCTCCTTGATATAATCTACTCAGCCCTTGACAAAAATGAGTTTCTGATTGGACTCTTCATTGACCTGAGAAAGGCCTTTGATACTGTTAATCACAACTACCTCTTACTTATACTCCATCATTATGGAATCTGAGACCTTGCCCCGGACTATATCCAATCCTATCTTAGTGATACATATCTTAGTGATATGTAGCCTTCATTAATATAACCTCTCCCACTCTTACAATAACTGTTGGAGTGCCACAGGGCAGCATCTTGGGACCCCTCCTATTTCTTATATACATCAATGATCTGCCTAATGTCTCTACCATTCTTAAACCTATATTGTTTACTGATGATACTTCCCTCAGCTACTCAGACCCCAACCCACATACACTAAATAATGTTGTTAATAATGAACTAAAAAAAGTCCATTTATGGATGTCAACCAACAAACTAACACTTAACATAGAAAAGACCTACTACATTTTATTTGGAAGCAAATCAACAAATGCAATTCATCTTTAAATAGACAGTGTTAAAATTAGTAATAAAATTGATGGAAAATTTCTTGGCATATTCCTAGACAATAGACTCAACTTCAGCACCCACATTCAACACATAACTAAGAAAGTCTTTAAAACAGTTGGTATACTCTCCAAAATCAGATATTATGTACCTAACTCTACTCTCCTCTCACTATATTATGCACTAATCTATCCCTATCTTAATTATGGTATCTGTGCATGGGGTTCAACCACTGCAAACCACCCCAAGTCCATCATCACCCAGCAAAAATCTGCTATTAGAATAATAACAAACTCTGCTTTCAGACAACACTCAGCCCCCTTGTTTAAATTCCTTAACATGCTAAACAAACTCACTCCACACATTCTCTTGTGTCAATTACATTTACAAAACCTTGTTCTTAAATGCAAACCCTGCTCTGAAACTCCCTGGACAGATGTAATAGGACCCATTATTACCACACCAGAAATAAATATCTCCTTTGATATCCCTAGAGTTAAACTTAATCTGTGTAAACACTCTATACAAATAAAGGTACCTAGTCTATGGAACTCACTCCCTAATGAATTGAAAAGCTGTCCAGCTTTTGCCTCATTCAAAAACAAAAACAAAAAGTACCTAATTTCATCTTCACAGTGTCCTACTCTGTGCTTTAAAATTGCACTGTATCTAGTGCTACCCAATCCCCCAATCTTTATGTACCAAACTCAAACAACTTTACCATTGTATTCATTGCTGTCTTATATGTGCTATCAATATGCTGTATTGTGCCTATTAATCTTTGTTAAATTACCAATCAAGCTGTCAATGCAATCAATCAGAGCTACCGATGCTTTAATATACCTACTAATCTCTCTCATCTCATTTTTTTTCTTGCAATTTACCTGTTATCACTTTATAAATTTTGCTAGAATTTACCTACTTAACACTTTGATGCTCTGGGCGCGCATGCACCGCACTACTCTGGGTGGGTTTGGGCATTCCGCTGGAGCGTGTGGTAATTCTGAAGTGTATAATCTTTTAAACTTTTTACCTCAATTCTCGTCCTAGGTTTTTCAATTTGGTATCATTGTGTTCGCAATAGATTTCTCTACAGGACTAAAGGCATATTAAGTCCAAATGCCCAACATACCATCCGCAACAAACAGAGAAAGTAAGAGCCTGTTACCCAGGAGCGCGCAAGACTGATAAAATGTGTACACTCTTTTCACCTTGGTTACCTCAATTCTCTTCCTAGGTCTTTCATTTTGGCATCACTGTGTTCCCAGTAGAATTCCCAACAGGAGTACATGCATATAATGTCAAAAACAGCGGGACGCTCCACCCGCCGACAAGATGAAAGTTACCAGAAAGAGAGCACTGCGCCACCCCAAGGCGCCTCTCATTACAAGAGAGAAAGCGTTCATAACAAAATGTGTATACTCTTTTCAACTTTGTCATCTCAATTCTCATCCTAGGTTTTTCAATTTGGTATCAATGTGTTCGCAATAGAATTCTCTACAGGACTAAATGCATATAAAGCCCAAAAGCCGGGCGAGACAGGGAGAAAGTGAGAACGTGTTTCCCGGGAGAACGCAAGAGCAATAAAATGTATACACTCTCTTCACTTTGGACATCTAAATTCTCATCCTAGGTCTTTCATTTTGGTGTCATTGTGTTCACAATAGAATTCCCTACAGGAGTATATGCAAATATAAAGTCCAAAAACCCGGCGTCCCACCCACAGCAAACAGAGAACGTGACGGTGCATTACCGCAGTGAGCGCTAATAAAGAACAATAAAATGGGTATACTCTTTTTCAACTTTGTTACCTCAATTCTGGTCCTAGATCTTTCATTTTGGTATCAATGTATTCGCAATGAAATTCCCTACAGGTGTATATGCATATACTGTCCAAAACCGCGGTGCTCCCCTCCCGAAGCCGCCGCCAATTTGCCGCCGGAAACGACGCAATGGTGCGCCGTTATCAGACTACCCCCAAGTAAAAGAACGACGCAATGCTATGTCGTTACCGAGTCGAAGCGTTAAAATTATATGTTAGATTAAGGACCTGCCCGAAATGCTGCGTGTACTAGTGGCTTTACGAGAATGTTAACACCATGCTATGTATCCTCACAAACCCAATGTACCTTCTTGTATGTATGTGTATGTATGTGTATGTATATATGTATATATATATATATATATATATATATATATATATATATATATATATATATATATATATATATATATATATATATATATATATATATTATTATATATATATATATATATATTATTAAATATGACCGAAAAAGTAAGATTAATAATTCTAACACGAATTTTCTCAATCTTTCGTACATTACGCTTCACTGTTGGAGGTAAATCAAAAATCAATTCTCCAAAATTCATTTTTATTTCTAGTCTGACGCGACACGGGCGCGTTTCGTAAAACTTATTACATTTTCAAAGACTTTAGTTCACAAATACACAACTGATTAGAACTTACGTATCTCCGATTTTATATCTACATTTGAGTGAGGTGGGAGGGGTGATGTGGCATTAACACAAGACAGAACAAGAGGGGATATTAATAGGGTATTAAAAGTATCAACACAAGACAGAACACAAACAATGGGTATTGAACAGAAGTGTTTGTAGAAAGCCTATTGGTCCATATTTCTTGATGCTTCCATATTGGAGCGGAGTCTTGAGGTGGGTAGAATATAGTTGTGCAATAATTGGCTGTTGATTGCTGGTGTTGACTTCTTGATGTGTAGTGCCTCGCAAACATCAAGCCTCCTGCTATCGCTGTATCTATCGATGATTTCTGTGTTGTTTACTAGGATTTCTCTGGCGATGGTTTGGTTGTGGGAAGAGATTATATGTTCCTTAATGGAGCCCTGTTGCTTATGCAACAGGGTTGTTGCATAAGCAACAGGGCTCCATTAAGGAACATATAATCTCTTAATGTGGTTTACACAACACCCCCAATAAAATTATATTACAAATCAACCATGCACAGTGAACATATAAAAGAGGAAAGAATAATGAAAGAAATAATCCGTAAAGGAGTAAAAAGCACTACTCCTAACCAAAACATAAACCTGATAATATTCTACAAAACCAAGAAGACTTCCGAACTCCTTATCAAAAACAGCCCGAAGCCGACGGAGAACCCTCTACAGCAGTCAAGCGTTGTATACATGTACACTTGCCCCCACGAAGGATGTAACCTTCAATGTAAGTACATAGGTATGACGTCGACCAAGCTGACGAGGCGTTTGACATGCCATCTTCAATCTGGTGCCCCTAGGAATCACATGAGACAAGCCCATGACATTACTCTAACAAGAGAAATGTTGAACAAGAATACTTGCATAATAGACAAAACCCAAGATTCAAGAAGATTACAAATTCTTGAGGCAATTCACATAAGAATAGAGCGACCTACCATGAACACCCAAATCACGGAACTATTTACTCTACCCACCATGAGAGTAAGGACAAGACAAGAACATATCGATGCCAACACAGAAGACAATGTCCAACATAACAGGCCAATTACACTGGATTAATCTTTGTGTTTAGATAGGAGATGCTTCGTATGGGCCAATAAGCCTTCTGCAGCCCCTATGTTTATCCCTTATGTATCCCCCCATGTTTTCACCTTCATTGTATTATCACCTGACCTAATGCGGGTATAAAATCAACTAGTATTGTAAGATCTGTTCACTTGAGAATGAACCATGGAGGTTCGAAACGTCGTGCAAATTATACATATAAGTGTAATACACTCTATAGTAAATCACTTCTTTTCTTCACCTTAAAAGTACGAAAATGAGTTTTGGAGAACTCCTATTTCAATTAAGCCCTGATGCTAAGAAAATAGTTAGAGGGATAGAAGCCCTAAACCAGAAAATAATAAATACAGAATATGTGGTCATATTCAATGAAACATGTTTGAAAGAAAACCTGCTGCCAGTATACACCAATATATATATATATATATATTATTATATTCATACATACATTGTACACACAGAAATCACAATAGCGTGATGTATCAAATGAACAAATCCACAAGGGCCGTGACGAGGATTCAAACCTACGCCAGAGAGCATCCCAGATGCTGAGCTATTGACTGAGCTACGACATGGTATAAGAATTGCAACCATAAATTCTACTGAATTTAATTGGATCCTGCAGCCTCTCCAAGATACAAACCAGGATTTTACACAATTTTTTATTGTACGATTTTGTACAATGTATTTATACATACAATGTACTTGTTTAGCATGGTTGTGTCAACATGGTGAAAAAAATATATTTTTGGTCCACCTCACTGTAAGGGAAGGTAGGGTGACTGCTGATGTGAATGAAAAATATTCTAACTGACAGAAAGGTGTCAAAATAAGTGCAAATAAAAAGACTTTATTATTTGCACTTATTTTACTTTTCATTGCTTAGTGATACATTTGTACTCCTGTCTAGTCCTTCACTAATTTGCCTGTGTAAGTATACTGCAATAATTAGAAATGTGTGGATTCAAATTGCACTGCCTCCTCAGAGAGCAAGTTACTGCACATGCCACAGTCAACGAGTCGCGAGATCCCACCCACGCCTGCAGGATTCACACCTATTATGTCTACACCCACTGCCCACTTAGGATACCCACCAATCATCACACACACTGCTGCTACTCCTCAAGGATCACCCCATGCCACTCTGGAGCCAAGTGGGCGTGGGGAACTCAACAACAGGCTCAGCCCTGCCATGGCTCTTTATTGCTCAAACCAAGATCAGCATGACCGTCCACAGGTACACAAAACTCTCAAGCTAAGTATCAGGGCTGTCTTAACAGCATTGTAGGCCTTGGGCAAAACAATGGTCTGGGGTTCCTAAACAGATGATGGGTCCCTTCCTTTCTGCTAATGTGTAGGATTACCATCAGATTGGTTTACACAAATTATTTATATTATAAATATAATTTACAAAGGGATTTGGATCCCATGCCTTTCCTTTTGAGATGTCGAGTAATTATCCTCTCTGACAGGAGATCTTTCATGAGCAATATGGTAATATGAAGCCCCTAGAAAATTGAGGCCCCTGGATGCCCATGCGTTAAGACAACACTGCCACATATCCTTAACCCTTCACTCTTCAATGTGACTGTTGCCAATTTACTTGAAAGTATAATTTTATAAATGTTCAGCCATGTTAATTAAGGATAAATGTACAGCAATGTCAATCATGTTAATTTAGGATACTATATAGTTTTACATTATTTGATTTGTCTTTCAATTACCATTTGATGTCTCTAGTCATTCAGTCACTGTAAAATAGACCTAGTGTTGGTGTGGAGCCAACAGCTTCTTCCTTATATGGCTACATTCCCAATTGGGAGGCTCTTGAGGTGGATGCCTTTAGGTTGGCTTGGTCAATGTTGTGGCCCCTCTTTTCCTCCCTCCCTTTCCCCTCCAGTTCATGTATTGTTCTGGGTGCTGTCCAGGCTGGAGATGTACTTTGGCAAAATGATCCTTCTGTCTCCTTGGTGGCCAGCTCAGTCTTGGTGTTTGGCTCTTCAGGCCCGGTGTGTGGACCCGGGTGTTTTTCCATAGTTCCAACTCTTTCAGCAGATTGACCCGGTGATAAACATTGAGACATTGCTGCCATTCACTTCCAGTCTTCATGTCTGGACTTTCTGATGCAATTCTATAACCATTTGTATGGTACCATTCGGTTCCTCCAGAAAACCGGCACTGAAGATAATGAAATGTCTCTAGCTAGTAGGGCCTGTGGCTTCCTGATTCCCTTTCCCTATCATGTGCATTGGTTCATGGTCTTTTCATCTCTGGACTGAGGCATATATGACACAAGAGGTTGGGAGATCCTGGTGGTGCTGCCACTTATTGGTGGCCAGTCATAACTAACGGGAGGTTTGAGCTAGTTTAAGAGTGAATCATTTGTAGAGTCATTTGGCTGTTTCAGTGCTTCATTTTCTTTGAACCTTGGAGTTTGAACCTTGTAGTGAACCTTATACAGAACCCTGTATTGCTTTGCTTACTTTCTGGATATTGTCTCAGTGAAGGTAATGGTATTAATCCCCAGCTCCCTCTGCTTTTGTGAGGGGGGGGGCCAGGTTCTGGTCACCTGTAGGCCATACAGGACTTCTTTGCCAGATGTGTGACTTGGTAAGGGGGAGAGCCATCTAAGCAAGATAGTTTTAGGGAGGTTATCTTGAGGTTATCTTGAGATGATTTCGGGGCTTTTTAGTGTCCCCGCGGCCCGGTCCTCGACCAGGCCTCCACCCCCAGGAAGCAGCCCGTGACAGCTGACTAACACCCAGGTACCTATTTTACTGCTAGGTAACAGGGGCATAGGATGAAAGAAACTCTGCCCATTGTTTCTCGCCGGCGCCTGGGATCGAACCCAGGACCACAGGATCACAAGTCCAGCGTGCTGTCCGGCTCCCACCCGTGCTGTCCCGGTCCGACCGACCGGGAGCCATTAAGGCCTTACCAGAAAGAGGCATTTCATTACATTCAGCTCTGGTTTTTTTGGTTTGGGAGTGATAATATGTATGTCCATATTCTTGCTGATTTTAAACTTCAAATTCTTTTGTTTTGTCATAATAGGAACAGGGTAACTCAGTTCATATTGACTATGAACAGTGTCACCCTGAATAAAATTGTAACTAGAGTAACCAATAAGTGTTCTAATGATATAGGATTTCATTCTCGTGAGTTTTAATAGTTTAAATTGCCCAAGAATAGGTACATTTTGTATATGTTTGTTACATATATTGTTCCTGTGGTATAGCTAGTCAGTACTGATATAGGCATAAGTAGGTGGTGGTGAGGAGGAAGCATATGCATATTATTTATTTAGACTTGTATCAAGAGGCATCATACCATGTATCTAGTTCTGATATGCTTTATTCATCTGCATCTCCAATAGGGTGTCTTAAGGTCAGCCTCCATCAAGAGCAACAATACATCATTATCATCCAGATCATCACGTTCATCAAGTCGCTTAGGACCTCGAGGAGTTCTCCGTCGAGAGTCACTTTCTCCTAATGATCTTCCAGGTCGTCGTGAGTCTATCAGCCCATCTCCAGGGTTAGTCCAGTATGGTGCCATTAATACTTTATCAAGTGTTCACAAGTCATTCCTTGTTTTCTTTATGCTTAACCCTAGTAAATTATAACTTGCCAATGGTTAGTTCTCTTTCATTCTGACTAGATAACTTCTTTATCTGGGAAGGCTCACCTTAGGGGCCCCTCAAGTTACCTACCTGGCTATCTCCACTCCTTAGGTACCCTACCAGGCTCTTATGAATGATGAGAGCCTACTGGAGACCAGGACCAGAATCAGGCCCCCTCAATAGAGGCAAGGTGAGTCTGGGGATACAAGATCACACACAACCAAACAAAAACCACCAAAAATGTTCAGCACACCAAAACAAGCAACTGCATGGGGCAGGATTTGTAACCCTGATGTGAACATTGTATGCACTTGTTATCTAGGCCCAACTGCTAGGTAGCAATATTTGCTTGCTACCAGATGGTGGCATTGGTGACCTAAGGGTCCCAGATGGCTACCTCAGTCAGTCATGTCCTGGTGCTGTCCCTGCCAGTATCTCACTGCTCTTCATGCTTTAATTCTTAGCTAAGTGTTGCCTTTTATTTTGGACTTGCAGGAGCCTGTGCCTGTGTTGCTTCTTTTGAAAGCTTCATGTGCATGTTTTTCAATCATCCTGTTGTGTAAAACTTGAATTTTTCTTCACCACAGCTGCATATTGCTAGAGTTACCATCCCTGGTCATTGCTGGATTCTCTTTTGTGAGTAGGTTCAGGTGTCTGCCCCTTTTGGGCTCTTGTTTAGTGGCCTTGACCCAGGTAATGCTTACTCTTCAGTATTTACTTTAAGGTGACTATGGGAGATAGAGATCTATTATCCACCTTGTATCCATTTATTCCTGGCATGCTATTTACCTCTCAAAATATTATAATTTCCATCAGATTTTTTAAGATGATGTATTTGGGTGCAGCAACCTCTTCCTTTAATACATTTTATTCGTTGAATACAACTACAGGGTATGAGAATTTCCTTACATCTCTGTGACTGGATTGCATGTCCAACTTCCTCCAATGTCCTCTTGTCCTTCATTTTCATTGAAATAAGTTTCCTTTGTCCAAAATGTTAATCCTCTCAGGATGTTGTATGTAGAAATCGTAGCTAATTGCTCTCAATTCTGGTACTAATTTTGTTGCAAATCTCTGAAGTTTCTCAAGTTTAATTTTTTTCTGCAGGGAGCCCCTTGTGGTTTCCCGAAGCTGCTATACTTATATTGTGCCATCAGTCACGGAGTTCTTATTTGGCCTACCCAGAACCATGAGCCAGAACCTGGCTTCCCTCAAAGAGGTGCAAGGAGCAAGTGGCAGGTATAAACGATTTTATATGTAAATTGATTCAGGTCTGCCACCACCAAGGGAAGGCATTCAAAGTCAGTGAAACAGAACAGACCACTGCTTGGTTAAAAGCAACACCACAGTCTCAAAACAGCCAAATGAATTCTTTCAATAATGTAAACAAATGGTCGAAAACTTATGAAACTAGTATGAGCTAGTTCACCCCACCACCTTCCCCCTCGTTTGGGAAAAGGAGGAAGGCAGACCAGGTCAGCTGGCTGCTCTTCAGTTCTTATGCTGATGTGTACTGAGCCTGATCACCCTCTCAGTTCACTCTGGCTTTGGTCTCCTGTCTTAGGTTAAAGGGGGTGTTTTTGGCTGGTAAGGGTACTTACCTAAGTGTAGTTAGTACATCTTGATATTTTGATAAGGTGTTCATATTTCTTCCCCTCACCTTTATTCTTCGTTGCCCCTTCAGTCCAGGAGACCTTAAGGTGCTGTTTTTGTTGACCCTCATCTCTGGTTGATTTGTTTGGGAACTTCATGCCCTCCTTCAGTGGGGTGGATTCTGTTCTTTTGGTCCTGGTGGACAGTTTCTTCATTTGCGGCCTTCTTCTTTTCTGCCAAAGAATGAGACAATTGGCTTCTTGAGGGAAGGCCCTTGGTGATTGATGCTTGGTTTGCCTGGCCAGCAGTGCATCATTTGTTAATTCCAGTTGAGGCAGTTCATCCCTACCATTCTCAACACTCATTCAGCTATGATGGATGTCCTTTGTTGATCTGAATTCCTTAGTTTCCTGTTATCCCAGGTTGTCCACAGTGCCCAGATTCAGGCCCAGGATGTTTGTAAGTTCACAGCTTTGGCCACTATTTGCTGACATGTCGTGGACTGATATTCAGGCTTGGTAGTTTCGGAGGTCTGACAGAATCCTGGCAGCTCATTATCTGGTCAGTGTTTCATTGCTGGAGAAGGAGCCTGGAGCTTCCAGGGTGCCTCTTGTTGGCAACCATTTGCATTAGTGGGTTTAAGATAGTTTCAAAAGAATCATTTGGGTTTGAACAAATAGTTTGTGGAGGATTTTGACCGTCTTGGTGCTTCCTTTTCTGTGAACCTTGCAATTGTCTGCGTTGCTTTACTCACTTTCTAGATGTTTTTTCGGTGAGGGTGATCATAACAATCCCCCTGCTCCCTCTGTCTACATGAGAAGGCTGGTTCTAGCACTGGTCTTTGGTAGCCCATGCAAGACTTCTATGGCTGATGTGACTCAATAGTGAGAAACCATCTCAGCTTCAGGAAACCATCGAGGCTCTACCAGAAAATAGTTTCATTTATTAATGCTTTTTTCTTTATCATGAATCTTAATGCTTAACCAATGAGTACTATCATGTCTGTATTGTTCAAAGACCTACTTTTGAGAAATTTATAAGAATTTCTGATAACCTGTGCATTATGTATGTTTCATTGTGCTAATTACTTTGTGACGTATTTCATTAACCCTTAGACAGCGGCTGTGGAGAAATGGTTATGCCTGACTATGCGTAAAAAATAAATACAAAGGTTTCATTATAGAATTATAAATGTGTATGCAGAATGTAAAAAAAATACAAAAGTGAATATTTATCATTTCACTGGGGAAAGGCACGCTTGAAGGATGTGGTGGGTGTGTCTGGTACCTGTCAACACCTGATGCCTGACAGCTGATGCTTCTTGTGTTATCATTGGATGTGTCTCTGATTGTTTATCATTTGTTTCTCTTCATTTACAAGAGTTTGCATGTTGAATAACTTGATAAATCACATAATTCACATAACACAATTGTTTAAATAACATGTGTTTCAAGTGATGATTGGGTTTACCTGGTATACTCCATTACAACCTGTTAGGGACACTATGGGTCACAACCGGGTTCTTTACTGGAGGAACCAAAGTACTAGTATCCGACCCCAAGTCGGTAGTGGCTTTCAAGGAGCGAGTTTGGTAATGCAAGTAAAACACAAGGGGGGGAGTTGAAAGGAATATGACACTTCATCAATTATCAATATATTCACATATTATCACTTTCCCATCACTTTAAATAGAATCAAACGACGTATTACTACACTGATATATACACGTGTCACTCTCATAGGACACTAAGCGCTCCTCGATGCTCATGCAATGCAGCCTTGTCAACTTCCGTGTTTCCTCAACACACAGTACCGTCCTCAACCAGTACTGCTTAACACTGACGAGTCTACCCTAGCCACGGGCCAGCCTATACATAGTCTCACTAGGTGCTCCTTGTGAACGCCCACAATCACTCTCCAGCCTGGTGCTGGCAGAGAACATCAGCTTCGTGCTGCTGGGCCTCTACACAAACAAATACAAGGGTAGCGAACCCCTGGCAGGAGCTTCTTGCAACTAGCTAGTTACACTCCTCCGTAGCACCTCGCTGTCGGTCGTCTCTTCCTCTAGCCAGTCCTGGGATACGCCGAATTCTGTCACTGCCACTTCACAGGCAGACAGCAGATACTACTCAGTTCCTCTTCGGCGGCGGCTCACTGCTCACGTAAAGCAGAATGGAGTAGAGAGATAATAGGCGGTTTGGGTAGACTGCCTGTCTTCGTACCACTGCAGCCCTACGTCGCCTCTGTGGGTACAGACACATCATCAGTAAACTGGCCAGTACTTGGGACACTAGGAAATACCACTTACGGACTCTGACATTGACATACACCTCCTCCCACAATAGATGGCGCTGATTTTCTAGGCGCCACCTCACCAGACGTCAGCAACAGTGACTCTTCGGGCTTACCCAGGCAGGAATCTAGTCTCTAGCAGGTATCATACCACCACCACCAGATGGCGTCGTCCATTTTGTGGGGGTTTAGGGAGCAGACTCACAGATGGCGTTGACGTCGCTGCTCCATGCTCCGATGATGAAGTCTGGTTCGTAACACAACCATAGAGAGTAGTGAGAGGGATATGAACATACTGTAATATACAATAGTGTTGAACTCTGGGCAATGACATATAGCCTATTGGCACCATATAGGCAAGAACATAGATTGAAAGAAAGGTGTAAGCCACCAATTTGGCACATGGCTATATCTCAAAAAGCACATCAATAAACTATAAAAGGTGCAAAGGCCTGCAGCAAAATGTCTTCCGTAACTTCTTCCGGAGCAGCAGTCTCCGTGGTGTAGTGGTAAGACACTCGCCTGGCGTTCCGCGAGCGCTATGTCATGGGTTTGTATCCTGGCCGGGGAGGATTTACTGGGCGCAATTCCTTAACTGTAGCCTCTGTTTAACGCAACAGTAAAATGTATACTTGGATGAAAAAACGATTCTTCGTGGCGGGGATCGTATTCCAGGGACCTGCCCGAAACGCTACGCGTACTAGTGGCTGTACAAGAATGTAACAACTCTTGTATATATCTCAAAAAAGAAAGAAAAAAAAAAAAAAACTGAAAAACGTGAGCTACGAGGAAAGACTAGAGGCGTTGAATATGCCAAAGCTAGAAAATAGAAGAAAAAGAGGTGATATGAGCACCACTTACAAAATAATAACAGGAATCAACCAAATTTGACAAAGAGGAACTCTTGAAACCAGCTACTTCCATAACAAGAGGATACAGATTCAAGGTAAGGAAACAAAGGTGTCGAAAAAACATTTGAAAGTTTTCTTTTGCAAACAGAGTGGTAGATGGTTAGAACAAGCTAAGTGAGAAGGTGGTGAAGGCCAAAACCATCAGTAGTTTCAAAGCGTTATTTGACAGAGAACTAGAAAGATGGAACACCACGAGTGTAGCTCTTATCCAGTAACTACAATTAAGTTCTACAATTGTCACAAACATGACTGCAAGCTCCTCCTAGTACACATAATCATGAAATGGATACAGGATTTTTTATGGGTTAAGGAACAGACAGGGCATGAGGCATAATACGCATCCCTCCAGGACGTGTATTGGAATATCCTGCTTCATCCAGGGTTCAGGGACTGGTTAGGTCCCAAGCTCAGGATAGCTCAGGCGGACCATCCTGAGGACCATACTCAGGATGTTCCTGAGCCATCCTGGTCCTTGAACCAGGTACTATTTTCTTTCTTCTCCATGGTCTGTGGTGGCCCCTTCGGTTCATGCATGCTTTCAGAAGGCTTTGTTTCTATTGGCATTGGCCTCTGGGGGTCGGGTCGGTGTGCTTCCTAATCTCCTCTGGTGCAGTAGTTTCTGCTCTGTTGGTCCTGGTGGACGTTTTGTTTGGTTGCAGCCATCTCCTCCTATTCTGGCAACAAACGTGACGCCTGGCTTCTGGAGGGGCTCTTGGGTTATTGATGCTTGGTCGGTCGGGCCCGCGGTGCATCATGTGTTGTCAGTTTGCGGCTCAGTGCCGTTACCTGACAACACTTCTTTTCTGGTGAAGAATGAGACGCTGGGCTTCCGGAGGGGCCCCTTGGGTTATTGATGCTTGGTTGGTCAAGCCAGAGGGTGCATCATGCGTTGTTAGGTTGCGGCTTGGTGCCGTTACCTGCGTGCCTCGGCTTCTGTTGCCATAGACGCGTTTTGGGTTGTTCTGATTCCTCGTTCCCTGTTCCAGGGCTCAGATCTCTCAGGTCATCTGCAGTGTACTTCAGTCTAGCCAGCCTGCGGTCTACCCTCGTGCCCATGATGTTCATTAGTTTGCTGTGTTTGGGAACATATCTTGGGCTGACATTTGGCCACAGGGGTTTTAGAGGGGTCCTGGCCGTCCATTGTTTGGTGCATGTTCCTGGTCTCGGTTGTTTATGTGTTGCCTTGGGTCGCAAGTTGCAGCCGATGGTCTTGTCTTTGAATTGAGGCATGCAGTGCAGCCGCCTCCTGAGTATGTCCGCTTTCATATTTATCTTTGGTTATGTATCACCATGGAGCCGAAGGGGCTCCCCATAGAAAACCAGCATTGAATGAAATGGCACCCTCCCTACCTCCAATCAGCGGTTTCATTTTGTTTTTGATGCTCAGCCTCCGAACTGAGGTGTTAGTAGCCGGCCCGAGGGTCTGGGGTCTCCCCCCTTCCCCTCCTGGGAAGGGGAGGGCTGCCCGGACAAGTGGCACAGTGGCGGTGAATGACGTTTGTTTGTCTGCTTGCTCCTTAGGTTTTGGGGGAGTTCTGCTTCTTTGTTCAGTTTTTGGTTGCAATTTCATACCAAGTGGGGTTTGTTTTGTTATGCCTACCTTTCTGATTGCCTAATCCCGGTCGATGGAAGACATGAAATGCTCCCAAACACATGGGGGTTTCCATAGGCCATTTGCTCGCTGTGCCTCTTTGAGGGGGCCAGGTTCAGGCTTGTGGTCCCCAGTAAGCAGAACTCCATTGACTGAAGCAACAGACTTATATAGCGTATATCAGTATGATAGCTCCAGGGAGCCTCTGGGGATCACCCAGAAAATGGTGTTTCATTACATTCAATGCTGGATTTTTCATAGGTAAAGATAAAATCCATTATATCCACAGAGAGCTATTATATCATATTTGCATCATACATGTAAAACCCAGTCAATAATTGTTTAAATCGTTGTATGACGATAATCACAGTACCTCATGAATCAACGAATGACAACCTGTTTAAGGGTTAAGATAAATTATGTAATTTAGCAAGATGGACTTAGACTGTGTATAAACAAACCATGTCAATGGATCATTATCCAACCCGTCCTCTTAAAAATAACGTCACTTTTGGCTCGTATGCGCACTATGGCCAGATTTGGACATAATTTTAAATGAAATTGACTCACAAAAGTGACGTACTGTCCCGTTTTCAATTTGAGTCGTCCGGCCTACTCGGTAAGTTTAGAAGAGAACTTTCAATTAACGTTTTTCATAACGTTTTGAAACTTTATGAGAATTTCCTGCCCACCTAACCTACCAGAGGACCCTTAACTTACTGTTGTTCAACAAAAAAAATCCAAAATATATTTTCATTTTTTTTTATTTTCATATTACGTCCACTTTCGGCCATACTGGTAAACGGCCAAAAGCGACGTTATTCTTAAAGAGGACAGGTTGCATTATCAGTAGTACAGTACAAGAAACTTAGGGTGGTGGTAGTGAGTGTGCACACTGCTAGTGTAATATATAGGGTCTATTTTTCTCAGGTGTTTCAGCCTTAGCCTGAGTAGCAGTAGCAGTATCAGTGAACACAGCATAAGTCCTCTATTGTGTCACCATCTTGGGTCCACTCACCATTTCTGGTGTCCTGATGACTTATGGTATGCCCTAAAATGAGGGAGAACTAAATTTATATATACTCATTTGGGATGTGTTTAATTTTTATGTTTATCACCTGTTGTATGATCACTATGGCCAGTTTATTACCACCGTTGAGTGTGCATTCACCATCTTGTATTTAGTAACTCCAAAATATTACACACCGCTTGCTGAATAATTAATGCAAAATATATGATAAGCATTTATTATATTCTTACCATAAAATTTACTGTAAAATTGATTGCCAAGTACACTTGTATGATCACCATATTTCACTCACATGCTATGTGCTTTTGACACTTTGCTTGTCTGTTTTTCAGATATAACTTCAGCAAATTCACTTAAGCAAGGATTGATTAGTAGTTTTTTTTGCATTGAATGTTTATGAACTACAAATTCATTACTTAGTTGTTTGTGACACTGTTAGTGTATTCAAAGTCATCGTGTTAGCTAGTATCATTGTTTGCAGTCAGCTTTGATATCAATGCATTTTCATTTATTTATGTCATCAAATTTTGTTAAAATTTTAGCTGCTGTTTTATAAACGAGGGAATGAATTTAAAATCATTTTCGTCCCTCATATGTTTTAATAGCTTCTCTTTTTAATTCTTTATAGCACTGTAGACTTTTTGTTACACATGCAATTTTTTTGGGCCATCTCCTTAGTTTTCCTTAGATATCACACTCTGGCCATTAATGGTCTGACTAGATAATTGCCAGCTTCCCATAAAGTCTCTTACTACATACAAGGAACAATGAACAGAATCCTGCCCCTCTATGAAATAGGGAGCACTGGAAATTGGAAAGTAAATGTATCTATTTTATTTGTTTATATAGAGTATAACCTTGGTTTAACTAATAATAATAATAATAATAATTATAATAATAATAATAATAATAATAATAATTTTTATTTAGGCAAAGGTACATACATAAAGAGATTTTACAAAGTTTGTTGGCTTTATAGATAAGAGCTAGTACATACAATGCCTAAAGCCACTATTACGCAAAGCGTTTCGGGCAGGAAAAAACACTACTGACTAAAGCTTAAAACTAATGGGTAAAAAGAAAAAAATGCGTTGAGTACAAATAAAAATAGAGGTAAAAGAGGGGGAAACATTGTTGAAAAAAACAGCACAAATACAATTACAAATTATTACAGAAAATTACATTAAAACAGCGTTGATTTGAAAAACAAAAAAAAAACAAAAAACATACATGGGTTGACAATAGAGGGGAAAGGTAGGTTACAGGGAATTTATTAGGTATAGCTTCATTTTTAACTTAAACTGGTTGAGAGAGGTACTGTCTTTAACATGGTTGGGAAGGTCATTCCACATTCTAGGCCCCTTGATTTGTAGAGCATTTTTGGTTTGATTAAGTCGTACTCTAGGAATATCAAAACTGTATTTATTTCTGGTGTGGTGCTCATGGGTTCTGTTACAACCTTCTATGAAGCTTTTGAGATCAGGATTGGCATTACAGTTTAGCGTTTTATATATGTATAGTACACATGAGAGAATGTGCAGTGACTTAATGTCTAACATATTCAGGGATTTGAGTAGGGGTACCGAGTGATGTCTGGGGCCAGAATTGGATATTGTCCTAATAGCAGCTTTGTGTTGAGTAATTAGAGGACGTAACTTCAGTTCAGCAAACCTCAAGTTACCTCTCACACATTTTGGTCCAGATTTACACAGTGGGGTTCACTGAACTATTGAATTGCAAAATGAGGTATGCATAAATTTATTAATGATGGCAAGGGCTACAGCCCACTGACATATTATCTTGAAAGCTTCAAACAGAAGCACATTTTTAGCCTCATTACATATGCTTTTTCCGGTGGAAACCTCTAAGACTGCTCACCTGTCAAAGGAGAGACCCCTCCTGTGCTTTCCAGTTGAATATACCATTCATAAATGCATCCTATACAAAGAATCCTATATATATAGGCCTATATCATAATATTGTACTTTATAATATAACAATTGGAAAATGTTTTTAAGTATATATAGCAAATACTGCACTGTGCTAAAATATTAATATATATACCAAAAAATATGAACTATTTAAAGATGTTGCTGAAGAATTTTACCAGCTATGTGACATTAGAATTATGACATTAAAAAGCTAATTTACCCTTGCAGTAGTCGACAACGTCGTAATAGTGGTTGTGGTTCGCCATTATCTTGGCGACGTAATGGATCCCAGCGTCGACGACGTGGGTGCAGCAGCACTGGGTCATCATTTCGCAGGTCTCAGGTAGACAGAGAGAACCTTGTAAGACACGACTCAGGATCTGATGCTGATGGTGAGGAGGAAACAGCACTCAACAACAATATTACATTTACAAATAACAACCTGAATAATCATCATTCTATGTGAGTAGCAGTACTTGTGACTCACTTTTTCATGTATGATATCACTAATCACGGGTTAGTATCACAAACCTTATCTTTCTAAGGCAATGCTCCTACTAATAATTTTATTAGACAAAGGGCAGGAGCTGCTGTCTAGGGTGTTGAAGAAAACACCATGCATGACAAACAAGCCCCTTTTAGAAGAGCTCACTTTTCACAAATCAAAGTTTTGTCCTTCATAAACTCTTCTTCCTGACTGATGTTTCCATCAATATTGTTCTGAACAATAACTTGTCTCTGTGAATTACTTGTTTCAGGCATTACTTAAAAACTCACCAAGGAAAGTTACATTGGTTATATCTTGCACCATTTCACTGAAGGGTCATGCCTGCAGCTCGTACTCTCTTTTTCATAATAACTTCAGTAACCTATTAATGCCTCAAAATTGACACCTCTAAGACATAACTTTCACTAATAGCAACATCTGCAGCCAGCAACCTGTGTGAGTCTCATGCCTGTCTCTCAGCCTCTTGACATATCTTTACTTATCACCCAATAACCTAAAAGAAATTCCTATGACTTTCATATCATGTTCAGTGATTGTTTTCTATTTAGTACCAAGTGGCATGAATGCAAAGCAATATGCAGTGTTTTGAACATATAGATTGCTACCTAACTGTGAGGGTCTGCTTCATTCATGGGCTCAATATAATGACATGATCAGCTTATAAACAAGCAACCATGCCATTTCCTGACACCAGTTTTCATGATAATCAAGATTTCTATTTATGATTTGTCCAGATAAAGTTGTCCATGCTAGTTGTGAGCTCTGAAAAGTATCTGAATAAACTGCCCAATAAACAAATTACATTCCAAATCTTCCTGGTCATGCTCAATGAGGCACCAGTACTTGTATTGATATTGGTGGTTTCATTGTACAGGAATCCTCATTTTACAAATGTCCTCTCTACGGAATACATGATGGTTTCCTGAGGTTTCTACTGACACCGAACCAGGATTTTCAAACAATCCCCCCATGCACTCTGGCTCTGTCATCTAGGAATGTTCTACCTCTGACATTTTTCTTTTCAATACACAGAGAGGAATCACTAATGTGACTGCATCAATGAGAAAATCCATAGGAGCCGTGATGAGGGTTCGAACCTGTGCGGTTGGTGCTCCCACACACAAGCTCTAGTTACTATCTTGAGATTCTTGAGGTTATCTTGAGATGATTTTGGGGTTTAGCGTTCCCGCGGCCCGGTCCTCGACCAGGCCTTCTTTTTGTTTCACACCCCTCGGGAAGCAGCCTGTAGTAGCTGTCTAACTCCCAGGTACCTATTTACTGATAGGTAACAGGGGCATCAGGATGAAAGAAACATTTTGCCCATTTGCCTCCGAATCCACCAGGAATCGAACCTGGGACCTCAGGACTACGAATCCGAAGCGCTGTCCACCCAGCTGTCAGGCGCTAGATCTCGACATGGTATAAGGATTGCAACCTGGAGTTCTACTAAGCACACAAGGGTTTCCTGAGGCTTCTACTGAAGCCAGACCAGGATTTTCACACAATCCCCCCATGCACTCTCGCTCTGTCATCTAGGAATGTTCTACCTCTGATGCTCCTCTTTCAATAAACAGAGAGGCCCACATCAAAAGGATATCATCAGCGGCATATGCTAGACTGGCCAATAAAAGAACTGCCTGTAGAAACTTGTGTAAGGAATCGTTCAGGACCCTGTATACCACTTATGTAAGACCAATCCTGGAGTATGCAGCTCCAGCCTGGAGTCCATACCTAGTTAAACACAAGACGAAGATAGAGAAGATTCAGAGGTATGCCACCAGACTGGTCCCGGAACTGAGAGGAATGAGTTACGAGGAAAGGCTAAGGGAGCTTAACCTCACAACCCTGGAAAATAGAAGAGTAAGGGTAGACATGATAACCACCTACAAAATTCTCAGGGGAATTGACAGGGTGGACAAAGACAAACTCTTTAGCACGGGTGGAACACGAACAAGGGGACACAGGTGGAAACTTAGCACCCAGATGAGCCACAGAGATGTTAGAAAGAATTTTTTCAGTGTCAGGGTAGTTAACAAATGGAATGCATTAAGTAGTGTTGTGGTGGAGGTTGACTCCATACACAGTTTCAAATATAGATATGATAGAGCCCAATAGGCTCAGGAATCTGTACACCAGTTGATTGACAGTTGAGAGGCGGGACCAAAGAGCCAGAGCTCAACCCCCGCAAACACTTCTAGGTGAGTACAACTAGGTGAGTAGAGAGTAATGGCATCGTTCGAATGATAAGCTGTTCGAACACTCATCACGGCTCCTTCGGATTGTCTCATTGATGCAGTAGTGTGACTTTTGCTTTGGTGACTATGATTTTTTCTCATGTTCACACTCAATTTGAAGTGGGACACGAATGTCCCACCTCAAATTGACACAGCAGGTGTCTCACTGTCATGGTTCCTGTGTGTCCGGATAGGGAATGTTTGCCTGTACAGTATATCGTAGCAAACAATATAATGTCAGGATTGCCTGCTCGTGACTGTAAACTCAGCATCTTATGCATAGTGCTACCCTCTGCATCTATCAACAGATTACAATGTATTAGAAAATAAATATTTGTTTTATTTTATTTTGATGTTTACAGTTGTCTTTAAACATAGCTCTAACATATGTATGTACGAATTTGAATGCCATCAATGATGACATGAACATGAGTATGGCATCTTCTAATAAATACTGCATGTAAATTTAAACATAGCATAGCATGATTACCATATATGCCAAAGTATATAGTGTCCCCATTTTTAAAATGCATAGTAATTTTGCCATTTCATAGAAAATCGATTCAATTTAATTTCTATTGTACACCCTAAATGTAAACCATCACTTGAAGCCACTTCAATGAAGTTGCATTCAAATTAAACTCAATACAAGCTACTATTCCTTAATATTTGTTATTAAGTATAAAAATGCACGGTTACATTGAAAAGTGTTAAGTGTAGGTGGCAAAATATGTAGTATTTACAAAGCCTTGATGGTAGTGGCAAGGACCACACTGATCACAGTGGAAGTGTCACTTGCATTACATTGATAGACAAAAACACATGAGAATTTCAAGTGTTTTCATAGTGGTTTGATAACTTATTATTTCAAGTTTCTAAAGAATTAACAAGATTTCCTCATACATAATTTCTACAGTGTCTGTCTGTGTGTGTGTTCATCTATCTGTCTCTGTCTGGAGTGAGTCCAAAGGCTTGATCATTGCCATGTTACATCATGAGGGAGTGTTTGAAGGACCCCCATTTTCCTGAGAAATAGAAATGCTATACCATAGTTTTGTTTCCCAAAATCACTGACAGGATGCCTATTAATTTTATTGAAGTCCACCCCAGGCCAACTACTGACATTTCCTAGGATGCTATCAACAACAATTAACTACTTCTCAGGTACCGATTTATTGCTTGGTGAACAGAGGCATCAGGTAAAAGGAAGCACTGCCCAAGAACACTTATGTTCTTTCACAAGAATTGAAACGGGTACCTTTCAGCTGTGGCACACCTGTGACGGTAATTAATTTATAATGCCAAGTATCAAGCTAGGGATATTACTGCCTATTAGTTGACAGATTTGATCTTGTGGACCTGCTACACCATTACCCCATAGACATAATATCTACGGCAGGCGATGAGTCACAATAACGTGGCTAAAGTATTTTGACCAGACCACACACTAGAAGGTGAAGGGATGACGACGTTTCGGTCCATCCTGGACCATTCTCAAGTCGATTGTCTTGAAGATGGTCCACAATCGACTTGAGAATGTTCCAAGACGGACTGAAACGTCGTCGTCCCTTCACCTTCTAGTGTGTGGTCTGGTCAACATAATATCTAAGAGTGGCATTGGCTCAAAATCGAATCAATGTTATTATTATTGATTACATTGATTCGGCACTGAGTTGCTGTTGCTCTTGGATACTGTACACACTGGGTACAGACACACACACATATCACTCAGTCTTATATTGTATTCTCTTAAATTGTATTCTCTAACCTCTATTCTTCCTTCTCATCATTCTCTCTTTTCTTCCCTTCTCTGTGTGTGTCTCTCTCTCTCTCTTGGTAGCTAAGACATTGACCACCTGGTTGGTTTGAAGTACTGAATTAGTCAGGAAACCTGAGATATTTAGGTTAACCTTTGCTATAGGTTTGAGTTGAAGATCTGCTACCCATTTTGTCACAAAAGTCTTCTACGAACCTTTATTGAACAACTTGGGGTGTGGATCTTGGTCTTGTTGTTGATTAAAGTTAATTGTGCAGTGGGTAAAGTCGCTGTTGTACTTGGTATCTAAGACATTGACATCCTAATGTACTAGTCACTATTGTACTGTTGTGGAAGTTTCATCTTCCTCTGATTTTGACTTTGGAGACTTGTTGTTGTTATTGGTGTCCCCATACAGTGCTGGTGATGTTGACCCTTGTTGCACCTTGCACATGTGCACAGTACGGTCTCACATTGATTCTGATTATGTGCTCCTAAACACCTCATGCATCTTTGCAGTTCTTTCAACCATCTAATTCAACTAGTACAATCAGAGTATATCAAACATTGATAAATAATATGTTCTTCTTGATAGAATAAAAAGTGGGTTGACACTAGAGGGAGAACTTGTCTGCTTGGCTACTCATTTTGTTTTTATTGTACAAAGTACTGTTTAATTTTCCTCATTTTTGTTTTCTTGTGTTTTTAACTTTTATTTTATCGTGCTGTTGTCTGTTTTTTTTTTATCCCACCTTTCTGGTGGCTTTTTCCTTCAAATAGATTAATTTTGAATCCTCTGCTCCTTGTGCTTCTAAGGAAATCAAGTTTTGGTCCCTGGTCTCTGGTAGGCTTTTAAAAAACTTTCACGTGCCTGTTGTGATTGAAATTGAGTGGAGCTAACCAGGCAGTTAGTAACAGGATACTACCAACAGAGTCCTTCCAGAAACATTTACTGTGAAACATTTGCCTGCGGCTAACCTTACAGGTTACATTTTAGATCTTTCTATGTCTCGAACATAAACAGTGACAAAATTTATGCTGGCCTTTTTTTTTTTTTAATTCAGATAAATTTGCCATAAATGGTTTAGTGTAAAAATAAAAACTACCTATGTTAACCTTGTATATGTCATCTTTGTGTTGGTGATGGCTTCACTAAAATTGTTTTGAAATGATGACCACCTAGGTGCAGATAAGTACTGATGGGGGGGCAATGGTAGATTTGATCCAAAACAAATTTGTAATCTTGGCTTACTGTTTAAAACACAAACTTGACTTTGCAATGTTATTGGCAAAATAATATGCTTATTATAGTTTGGCATTTATGGTATTTGTCCATGGCTTCTCTTTAGTTCATTTGCAAAAGTTGTGTCGGCTTTTTGAATGTTGCTTGACAGGAGGAATTTTTGGGTAACCTCAGCTTAAATTAACGGATCTCTTAATTTAAGAGATCTTAATTTAAGAGCTCTTAAATTAACGGAGAGTGACTGCTTAGATATTACATAATAATAACTATTGATCTGTAAATTATAACAGATGGAAGGTGGCAGATAAGAAGACATTTTCACATCTCATTTATCAGATCCTGACATTCTGATTGAAGCTAAATATCACTTCTTTTATGAAGAGATAATTGCCACTCCACCCTCCAGGTTTTTAGGGACTGACCACAGCCACTGCAACGGGTCCACCAGCAGCCATGTGCAGCTGGCCCCGCGCAGATCTATCCTCACCCAGCAGAACTCGATAGGGTCGCCGCGAGCGCTTAGTCCACAGAATTCCATCCGTTCCCGTGGGTCCTCATCGAGGTCACGCCAACCCTCCATCCAGGGCCAGGTTAGTATTGCTTCTTTTTACAAATCATTGTATTTGCTACATCTGTTTTTTTTTTTTTTTTTTTGCATCATCTATTTTTCTGAGAGGCCCCCATTGGTTGCTTCTTGTCTAAATAGCTTTACACGTATCATGTCACATATGGCCCTTGTGAATCAGAATATCATCTACCGCACTGCAGGGGCCCAAACTTAGTCCACTCAAAGAGGTGTATGAAGAATGGGATGCAAGATCACCCAAACCAAGAGGAAAATTCAGAGAAAGGTAGAGTGAACCAGAGCAGACAACAACAAGGAAAATATTAGCAGCCCTGACATAAAGGAACACAATAGTTAGGTAGTGACCCGTGCTAGTTATACATCGCTTCTGCCCAGTGGCAGCATGGGAACTTTGGGTCTCACCGGGTTCGACTGATCAGTTATGCTCCCGGTGTGAACTTGTCCACTACTACTCATCTTGTCACCACCTCATTCTGGGTCCCTTTTTATCCAGATAAGTGTTGGCTTTCTTTGACTTCTGACCTGTAGGTGCTTGTGCTTGTTTATTCCTTTTTTGGTGTTTGTGTTACATGAGGCAAACAGAGGGGGAAAAAATGTTGACATAATTAAAGAACTAAAGAGGTCAGAAAGTTTTGATGAAACAGTTGGTGGACTTTCAAGAATCAATAATTATCAGTTGTGTAGGCATGATTCCAGTGGTCAACCAGGTGAAGCTCACCCTGTCGTGTGATCACAATATTCTAAGATGGATTATAATAACAGAAACTGGCATAAAAGGTTCAGGATAATAACTTTCTAGATTACCATCGAGGAGACTATCAAGGAATGAGAGAGGAATTGCAAAACACCACTTGGAGGGAGCCGATAGATGTACTGGTATGGAAGCATCATGGGAAAATTGAAACAATGTCATTACTGAACTCAAATGTATGTGCCAAAAAGGAGAAAGAAAAGAAATGGATCTAGATGGATGACTCAAGTAGGATAAAGGGCTTTGTTAACTAAGTGGAACTAGTGGGAGGGGGGGAAAAGGCATCGTAGGTGATATATTTTGGCCGCAGTGCTGTCCACCCAGCTGTCAGGTGCCTTGCTGCTGTCTGTGCAACTCCCCCTCCCCAGAAGGAGGAAGGAGGGGGTAGGCTCAGACTTCCTGTTCCGGTTACCCAACCCCAGTTCTGAGGCTGTTGTTTTGTGTGGCAGTCAATCGACTCTGGCTCCAATCTTCGAGAAGTGCTATGCCTTGTGGTGTTGTACTGCAGTATGGTGGTGTGTGAGCCAGGTGTTATTTTTAGATGTACTGGGGTTGCATGTGCCTAGGGTTCCCTTCCCTAGGTGCCCTGGAAGTACTGCCCCTTGCAGTTTGGGGTTATCTTCTAAAAACTGTTTGGGGGGCTACCTCCGCAGGGTTCTTTTGCTGCTTGATGATTGCCCGCCCTTGGGGTCAGATGGGGTTTTTCCTACTCTTGTTTGGCCTTGGGAAGGATGTAGCATAAGGGGGTGCAAGGTACTGTCCAGCTGTCTTATGCTATGCATAGCAGCCAGTTCTGTTCTTCCTGGAGATGTTGTGTTTTTGCGGGGTGTTCCTTTTGTTTTATTTTGTTTTGCCTTTTGGGGGTCTGCCTGGTGGGGGTCTGCCTGGTGTGGCTGTAGGACCACTTGTATGATTTTGATAACCCTCTACTAGGTCCCCGTGATTGCACACGTCGCAGGGGTTCAGCATTTTGTTTGTTTGTTTGGTAGTTCTGGGATAACCGGTTAACAGTACCTGGCCTGGGCTTCCCTTAACAGCCAGCCTAAGGGCCCTGGAAACCCGCCATTGGGGCTCATTGGTCTGATGTAAGCGTCCTCTGAACCCCATCTTTTTTTGTGCACGTTTGAAGGTTGCTCTGTCCCGTTGTCTCAAGGTGACACTTATCTACTTTGCCTCTGCCATGCTGCCTGTTGAGTCAATGACACCTTTGACCTGGAGTCCTGCAAGTAGTGTTCCTTGCTTGTACTCCAAACCACCCAGTCCACTGATATTGATATTTGGGTGCAGGCAGCTTCAGCATTGCATGCACAGTTTAGGTTGCTGCAACGCGCTAGGTTGGTGGCCTTTCCGGATGCCCCACGGCTGCCCCACTTTGGTTATAGGGACCCCCGGACTTGGGGGTGTTAGTCACCTTGACTAACACTCAACTAATAGATAGTTTTCTATCTAGAACCACCCCTAGATCTCTTTCTTTAAAGAGATGTCCATGGTCCGTGTTTTCCTCTTTGTTGTGATTCCAATGGTGCTGTCTCCTCCCTGATAAGTCCCCTTCTTTTCTTTCTCCATGGGTAGGTAGCTTCAGGAAATCACAAGGGGCTCCCCCCAGAAAACCAGCATTGAATGCAGTGAAACTCCAATTTATGGGTGAGCTTCGGTGGCTTCCTGACACCCACCCTTTCCCAGGGAGTTGGAATGGGGGGGTGGGGTGGCTTTTTCCATCATCATAGAACCGAGGTTGGAGCAGCCGGCTAACCTGGTCTGCCACCCCCCGTTCCCCAAACAAGGGAAAGGTGGGGATGAATTTGCTAGAGCTAGTTTCATGAATTTTTTATTGTTTACATTTTGCGAGAGTTCTTTTAGTGATTTTGAGGTCTTAATATTTTTGTAACCAGTGGTATGTTTTGTTTCTCTGACTTTGTGGGTGCTTCCTCTGTGGTGGCAGATATGATTAAAGTTCACTGACAATTTTATCATAGTGCCATTGCTCTCTGTGCCTCATTAAGAGGGGCCAGCTTCTGGCTTGTAGTCCCTGGTAGGCCTGAAAAAACTCCGCTACTGATTACACCTAGTATTATGGCACTAGATCAACATTGTAGGTTCAGGGGGACACCAGGGCTCTTGAGCACTATTATATAATGATTTGCATCATACATGTAAAACCCAGACAATAATTATTTAAATCATCATATTAAAATAGCCACATTACTCTGTGAATCAACATATGATGATAATCCCTGTTTAAGGGTTAAATTCTGCATCACTATAACAAATTATTATGATAGTAAATATAATTTTGAAATCCAATTATTTGAAAGGTCTTTCTACTTGCAGACATCCGTATTTGGGTCAATCAGGGAGCTGGAGTACAAACAAAATAATCTAAGTCGTGCTAAGGAAGCAGCAGCTGTTGCAGAACAGGAAGAGGCACAAGAACATTCTGAAACAGAGACAGAGGGTCTTAAGAAAATATGTTTTGTTTTTGAACCTAAAGGCTGTTTCAAGGAAAGACAAGACTATTCCCTTTATGTCTTCTCGCCAGAAAATCCGTATGTATTATAGAGAAAACTATAGTTTTACTAGATTTGTTTTTAAAATATAATTGAGCTCTTTTAATTATAAAAGTATGTAACTTAAACTCTCATACTTTCCAGTGCCACAGGGTGACACTGAAAATTCTCATAAAATTAGTTTTTCTGGAGGAAGTCCCCTGGTGGCTCCCTGAAGCTGTCTTCCTGAGATTGCTTCATACTAAAAAGTTACAAGGTCACATCAGTGGCAGCAAGTTGTGTTTGGCCTTCTGGGGACCACCACCAAAACCTGGCCTCCCCTCATAAGAGTCACACGGAGCAGGTGATAATCCACCACCTCATCAGGAAAAAGCCTCCATAAAGTCAGCACAGCTTCACAGACAACTGGAGGGTTCTTGAAAAAACCCACCAACAACTTAGCAAACGATTCACACAGAACAAGGGATTCACTCAAACGAGCTCGAAATTCGTTAGTTCCAATTACCACCATCAGGCAGCCCAGCCTCGGCTCCCAGCTGGCTCACCAAGTCAGTTCTGTTCCTGATGCTTGTGTCTTCACACCTACTTATAGTGCTTCTAGTTAAGCCAACTTGCAGGCAAGTGTCAGCCATCCTTGGACTTGGTTGCTCTGTGTACTGTTTAAATATAGGCTTCATGTGTGTGTTTTGGTTCCAGTTGGTTGTGTGAACTTGGCTCATTGGTGTTTCATGCTGCATGTGCTCAGGATTCTCTTCCCTGTGTATCCTGTAATGCTGCCCTTGCACAACCAGCACTTCACTTCTCTGGTGTGTTGAGGAGCTTGCCCCTGAGAGGCCTGATCATTGGAGTGGGGCGCCTCGCTTTAGGCTATTCAGGAATCGTAGATTCTTCTGTTTAGTACTTGGTTTGGGGCATTTGTTGGTTGTGTTGGGACGCACTGGGGTTGTGTGCTTGTTTACATGGCACGCCATAGTTGCCTCCCTTAGCCTGGTAGTTTAGGCTGCAGTTGGTGTCTGTTCTTCTGGCAAGCAGCCCCAGTGCCTGGGGTGTCTACTTGGTTACCATCCTGCAGGATCTGGGAATCCCCTGAATGTCTCAGTTGTGGTCCTTATAGAGTGGCCTGTCCAGCCTAACCTTGCTGTTTGCAAGTTTGAGGGGTGTTCATCATCTTTGCTACCTGATAATGATAATTTTTTCTGCCCCTGCCATGCTGCCTATTTGACCCGGAGTCTTGTGAGGTGTGTTCTCACTAATGTGTCTTCTCTGACTGATTCCACCATTGTGTTGGAGGCTTTCCAGACAGCTGTTACTTTACTGACTAGGTTTGCTTGAGTGAAGTGATGGTGGCATATTGATTGACTGGAAGTCCAGAGTTGGCCCCTGTGGCTGCGGGGCCTGATAATTGCAAGGCAATTTGCATTCGACATCAACTCTTTCTCAGCACTGTTCCACAGAATGTCCTGTTTGTTTTTCACCTCTTGCAAGCTCATGCTCCTTCTGAGCTGCCTTGGTCTCTTGATCGGGTGTTGTTCTTTCTCTTTTTGCCTTGTTTTATGGTTTCCCCTTTAGCTCTTATTGTCTTTCTCAAAATTGTGTTTTTTGTTGGCTTTTACCAACCGGCCAAGGTTGATGGTTGGTTAACCAGTTCAGCAACCAGTTGGCCTGGTCTGAGACTGGGCTGTGGAGAAGTTGTGCCCTGAAATCATCCCAAGATAACCAACTCTAGCTATAGTGTTGGGAGCTTCAGTCTCTTCTCTGGAGGTGGGGTTTTATTCTTTTTGTCCTGGTGGGTAATGTGTTTATTTGTAGCCTTCTTTTCTTGCAAAGAATGAGTCAGCTTGCATACCAAAGGGTTTGTTGGTGACTGATGCTTGGTTGGTCCAGCCAGGGGTGCATCACCTAGGTCCAGTGGTGGGTTCTTCGCAGCTACCTGCGGGTCACTGGTTCTGCCTTGGTGGATGCCTAGTTGGTTGACCCTATTTCCTTGGTTCCCTGTTCCAAGACTTGTATTTCCAAAGTTCTTCACAGTGTCATCAAATCTAACCAGCCACTGGTCTACCCTTGGGCCCATTATGTTAGCAAGTATACATCATTTGCTGCAGTCTTCTCCAATATGTTTTGGGGTGGGCTTGGGGTTTTGGCATTATGACAGACTTTTGGTAGTCCAGTATTTGGTTAATGTCCCTGGTTCCAGTTGGTTTTGTGTTTCCTTAGGCCATGTCTTCTGGCCAGTATTCTCTTCTTCTTCCTCATGCCTACTGCTACTTCTTCTGCCTGGTAAGTTCTGTAATTGTTCTCCGTTATTATTTAGCTACTGGGGGGCTACCCCTGAAACCCAGCATTGAATGCAGTGAAACACCTCTTTCTGGATGAGCCTCTGGTGGCTCCCTTGACTCTCTCCCTCCCTACCAGGGTAGTGAGATCGTTTACATGCTATTTATCAGCTCCAGAACTGGCAAGAAGGATGGCTTTGTGCTGAAGACTTGGTCTTTGTTAACTCTCCAGTTGTATGTAAAACTTCACTGGCTTTCCAGATGCTTTCCTGGTGTTGGTGAATTATCACTTGCTCTTTGCACCTCTGTGAGGGAAGACTGGGTGTTGGCTCTGGTCTCTGGTATGCCAAACAGGTTACCATGTCTGATGTGACCCATTTGCATGGAGCAATCTCACCGAGATAGCTTCAGGGAACCACCACACATTCACCAGTAATGTTAAGGTGTAAACAGTAAAGATTGTCACTGTAATCTACATTATACTAACAAAAACTGTCACTTCTTATTAAACTATTTCCCAATTTAATCCCATGTGTTATGTTGTTGAACTTAACACTAGTTGTAATGCTGTATTTTTATCTTTGAGCAGAAACTCTCTGAAATTTCATTCATCCCTTCAGGATACGCCGCATCAGTTTGTTTCTGGTGTCCAGACGATGGTTTGACTCCTCTGTGCTCTTCTTTATTGGCCTTAACTGCATCACTCTGGCAATGGAGCGCCCCAACATTCCTCCAGACTCTGTTGAGCGGCAGGTCCTCATGATTTTCAACTATATCTTTACAGTAGTGTTCGGCTGGGAAATGATTGTCAAGGTTAGTGTATGAGTGTTTCTGTAGCTGAAAAAATAAATCATGTATAACTTTGATTAGACCTGATCTAGATAAACAACTAAAACTGGTTGATTAAATTTTTCTGGTATATAAAATTTGACTATTGGTTATTTCAATTTTTTTCCAGCAATTGCATTGATATCCTAACCAGACATCAGAAAACAAAGAAACAACTATGTTTTGGTTAGTCCTAGACCATTAATAATGATTCAAGACAGACTGAAATGTTGTAGTTTCTTCATGTTCTGATAAGTGGCTTGAATATCATATCTTGAGTCACATTATTGTGACTCATTGTCTGCATATGGATCCCACAGCAATTGTATTGTTAGTCTGAGGTATTGCTTCAAGCTGCTTCATAAGACAAGTCCTAATAACCTTTGGTTAGGGTGTAATGCAGTCATGACAGGTTGACTTTACACTCTGGCACAACAAAAACTTTTCAAACTCTCCCCAAAGTCTTTTCAAGCACTACTTGAATTTAAAGAATCCACCAACCAATGCCCTAGCTAACTACCGAGTGGTGCACTTCATCAGTATCCCTAACTATTATCATGTGACAGTAATGACACCAGAACAATGCCCCATAACCAAGCCTACTTACTATTAAGTGACTAGTCCCAATGAAAAATTATTATGGTTGACAAAGTAGAACTGTTCACTTCATTAGCTTGTGTTATCTTTAGTAAGAGAGCACTACAGTGCTGCCACCTGCTAGTAGTGAGGCAACTGCAAACAGGTCGGTAGTTGTTTGAGCAGTTGTGCTTGAGCCTGAACTTTTCCTACATGTGTGGCTTCAGGGCTGTTCTAGTTTTTCCAGTTCGGCCTCATGTGTCACTGCCTCGACTGTTGGGTTGAGGCCCTGATCCCCCTTTGTTGGTTGCTGTGTTGCCGGTTTTCTTGTCAACTTTTTCAAGGTTCAGTTCCTTGGTGCCTTTCATTATCACTCGATGTTTTTATGGACACATCAGTTCTGAGTTGGGGTTTTGTGATTATTGCTCACCAGACCACCCAAGGTCATTGGCTGGTTCCTTTCTGTCAGGACCACAGTACGGTGCAGGAGTTTTTGCAGCCATGTGCCATGCCCTGAGGAGGATTCAGATTCTTCTTGGCTCCGTGCTCCAGCTTCATTCAAGCTATTGCTCATTGGTTCATTTTCTGAAACAGAAGAGGGCTCCCTTCAGTCTGTTGCCTTTATGAGCTGGATGCTGTAAGTAGCTCGTCTTCAGGTTTCTTGGGTTTTAGTTCTCCCTGCAGTTTACATTCAGGAAGTGTCCAACATTCTCACAGATGGTCTCAGTTCCTTCCCATGTCCACTGAGTGGACCATTAACAGTGCCTCCTTCCAATGGCTTTGCAAGATGGTTAGACACCTCATCGTGGATCTCTTGTCATTGGCATGGAATTAGTGCCTAGCTCTTTACATGGCTCCATTTCCTGATTGTGAGGCCTTCATAGTGGCTGCACCTTTCAGGTGGACTGGTTGATGTGGGGGTTTCTGTACCTCTTTCCCTTAGTGTACTTTTGCTCCTGGTCCTAGCCAGAATAATCCTGCCAGGGAAAGATGGTCCTTTTGGAATACCTTTTGCCTTGGTTTCAGGCGCTGCTTGCTCGGTGTCCAAATTTAGGCATTTTTTTACAGTGCACTTTCCAGAGTTTTCCACATGTTTTCCACTCTTTCAGAGTGTCAGCCCAGTGACATACCTTGCTGGTTCAAACTCTTGGCTCCATGTAGCTCGGCTTTTCCCAGTGGTGGTCCCATCTGTGTCGATAGCAAAGGAAGTTGAACCTTCCGGTCTCACCTGGACTTCAGGGCACTGACCTTCATAACTCAGTCCATTCTCATGAGCATTCGTAACATCAAGAAACTGTTCTACTAACTGTTCCCTAACTTAACCAACAAGAGGACTCACAAACAGAAAATGGGATATTATGTAAATTTCTCGGGCCGCTGCTATTTTCTTGTACATCAGTTTTTGCCAATAGGTAAAGTATGCATCAAAATGCATCATGTTATAAAGAGAACAGGTTGCATAACTATCCCCTTTTCCTGAACCTACTCCTTGGAAGGACAACTTACTATCTCATGACAAGCTTCTGGGGATGAAGGGGACCCCAAGAAGTGCTGTTGGGTGCCTTTCAACCCTCTGTGATTTTTGGTCCCTTCCACTGAGGATCTGCTGTTACAGAGGATAATTTTTTGTACACTCTTTATGTTTGAGTTGTATCATTTGTCTGCTACCCCTTCGGGGGTGGTTCTGGGTCTCGTTAGACGACTTGGATTAGTCAGTTATCTGGAGGTTTCTGTCTTCCCCATGCTGCACCTTCTGTATTCCAAGCAGATTTGCTTTGGTATCTCCTGCAGAGCATGGACTTCTTCCATGATGGACCTGGCCTCTTTCAGGTATGTATATTGGTTGCAGTATGAGGTCATAGGCTCATAACCTAACCTAATCTAACTTCTGGGTGGATTGTTTGCTGTTTTGTTTTTATTTACTCTCATTTGACGTTGCTGATGTTGTTTTGTTTCTCTACTTTCTGGGGCTTCATATCTCATTGAGGGTGATCATGTACCCCTGCTCTCTCTGCCTCTTTGAGTGGGGGGGGGGAAACTGAATTTTGCCTCTGGTCCCTGTTAGGCTTTAAATGACTCATAAAAGGCTGATATGACTTAATAGTGTTGAGCTATTTCTGTGTGGCCAACAGCAAGGTGCCACTGACGACCCACCACCCTAGGAAAAGGCGTTACATATCTTTCAACCTGGTTTTCTTTTACCTTTCAAATTATCTTGTTTTCACCAAAACTGCGCTGGTAGCTGCTTTTTTAGCTACCCGGTTTTCACCAAAACTGGGTAGCTGCACAGACAGCGGCGTGGTGATGTGTGACGTCATGATCGTTTGTTCGTTTCTTTTAGGGGAGTTCTATCTACTTGTTTGGCTTGTGGTAGCAATTTTTACCAGAATAGGGGTTTATTTTGGGATGCTTACCTTTCTGGGTGCCTGACCCGGTCGATGGCAGAAACAGAATGCTTCCAACCACATGGGGGTTTCTATAGGCCATTGCTCCCCTTGCCTCTCTGAGGGGGGCCAGGTTCTGGCTCGTGATCCCCGGTAGGCCCATAGAACTCCATATACATGACTGATGCCAAAGTCTGACATTAGCATATTAGCCTGGATAAGCTCCGGGGAGCCTGGGGTCTCACCCAGAAAATGGCATTTCATTACATTCAATGCTGGTTTTTTTAAGTGTCCCTGATAAGCTTTGTCTTGCCCTTAGGTTATCGCACAGGGTCTGCTGTATGGGAGGGGTGCTTACTTCAACTCTGGCTGGAATATCATGGATGGTTCACTAGTCATCATCTCTTTCATAGACGTTCTCATGTCTGTTCTGGCAACCACTTCACCACGCATCTTTGGCATCCTCAGAGTCTTCCGTCTCCTGCGTGCTCTTAGACCTCTCAGGTAAGGCTTTTCATTATCTTGCCTGAAACGCCATGTGTACTAGTGGCTTTAGGTATTGTATGTACTAGCTCTATCTATAAATCCAAAATTATGTTTATAAAACAACTATGTATGTACTTTCCTGAATAAAATTTACTTTACTTTACTTACTTTACTATCTTATGTGAACAACTCATAGTTTCTTGGTGGCTTTGTTTCTGTCTTGTCAGTCTTAAACTCCTTTCAATCTTCTACACTGACACTGTCACATCTTGTGATGAAAGTTGTCACCTACAGCTCAAGACTCATTATTTCAGTCCAGTGGTAGTATAATAATCGATGAATGTTAGAATTGATAATTAGACATACAACTTGTAAATTGATATGTTCCCCATATTCAGAGCACTCAATCTTAGAGACGTTAGAGCCATAGAGAGTTGAACTGTCTTTGTCTTTATCTTCATTGCTTGTTTGAAGTAACCTATACAGTATTTAGAATTTAATATATAATGCTTATTTTTTAAGTTTGAGAAAGATACACAGTACAGTGGTACCTCCATTTACGAATTTAATCCGTTCCCAGAGACGGGTCATAACTCAAAAATTTGTAACTTGAAACAAATTTTCCCACAAGAAATAATGTAAATTGAATTAATCCATTCCACACATCCAAAAATATTAACTTAAAAATAAATTTTATACAGAATACTACTCATATTTTTCATACTCAAAACAGTTTGGTATAAATATAAACCATAAATAAAATAAATGAACATTTAACTGTATTTTATCTTTACTGAGGACTCATGTTGGTTATGGGAGACGGTGAGGAGGGAGGGAGGAATGGTGTTGGTGTATGGAGAGGGTGAGGAGGAGGGGGGGGAGATGGTGAGACCGTCCCCCTGCTCACTTTAAACATTTTGATATCTGCATCACTGGTTCCAGATTTTCCTTTCACACATTTCACTGCCTCTGTTATGTGGCAGTCAGTCAGAACCAGTCAGTCACAACATGTCAGTCAAGCATTCAGTCAAGACCAGGCATAACCAAAAGCAACAAGCATTCACTGTTGTGGTAGCCGCCGGTTAAGCATTTATGGTCAGTCACGCATTCACAGTCAGTCAGGCATTCACAGTCAATCAGGCTTTTACTGTCGTACCCATTCGGTTAGCAAACAATAAGTTTAATGTCAGGCGCTCAGGGAGTCTGCCTCCGATCCAACAGCTGGTAGCATGGAAGCCCACCATATTAATACCGTCCATATGGCTGGGAGGGGTACCGGTGTGGGGGGTGGGGGCAGTTTGGGGATGAGGAGATGGAGGTAGCGGGCAGGGTACGGGATGGGGGAATGGAGGTAGCAGGGAGGAGCCGGTGTGCGGATCTGGGGTCTTGGAGAAGGACCGGGGATGACCAGCTCCTGTGTTAGTCCTAGCTGAAGCTGGTCCACTTACGCCACCGCCCACTACTATCTACCCACCTACTCTGACCACCCATCCTGCTTCCCACCCACCCCCACTGACCACCCGTCCTGCTACTCATCTGCCCACCCACTGTCTCCTGACTGCCCTGCTTCCCACCCATTCTGACTATGGGGAATTTTCCAACAATTGTATGTTTAAATTTAGATTTACTATGATTGTATGTGTATGTGACTAGAAAAGTGGACTGTATGTTTTAGTTTTAATTCTTGTTAGAGGTTTCCCTGTACACATAAAAATTTGAGAGCTGGTTTAATAATGCTAAACCAACTTAAAATTTTAAATAAAATTATTTAAATGAATTGGTTAGTAGACTATGCTACTATGGGTTAATTGTGAGAACTTTAATCTTAACGTATCAGAAGAATTCCTCTTAGACTAGCTCGTACATGGGAGTAGACAACAATGGATCAAGCATGCAATGTAGACCTCATGGTCACTGCGTCCAGTACTCTGGTGTGTTGAAACAGGTGTGGTACCCTCTCACATCGCCATAGTAGATTTGCTGAGATTTTACAATATACTAATTGTTACAGATTACTATATACACATTGTAATTACATTTGAGGTAATACCCAATATAAATGAAAGAAGCTTACTGGGTTTGTTTGTAGGGTATGCCTCGTAACCCGGTTGAAACTCTAATCTTACTAAGCTCGTAATAAAAGAAAAAAGGTATACAACCGAGACACGTTCTCTCGTGTTTGGAGAGTATGGCAGTCCTATGCGTGGTAATTCGTTCCAAGACACATTTCTGCTGCTCAACTTGCATCTCCAAGAGACATGCTTCTCTTATAAGCACAAATATGGCATCAAAGGCGAGAGTACAGTGGTACCCAGTGCCCCTGCCTCCTCCCTCACAGCTGATAGTCACGGCACCTCTCTCAGTGCACGGCACCTCTCTCAGTGCATGGCACCTCTCTCAGTGCAAATTTATGTATGAAAGAAGGTAGGTGCTAATTTATGAGTGATTTTATTATCCTCAATTACTATAAACAGTTTTTACTGTTTCTGATGGATTACTGTGATGAATTCCAGAACAGCCTCTTGTGTGGTACTTTATCAGAATCGTTTTTTAGGTCCAGATAGTCAGTCAACCCACCCACTTTTTTCCTGTAGTATCTCTGTGGCTCTATCATAAAAACAAAGTAGATTTGTTACACAGGATCTTCCTTTTCGAAAACTTTACTGTCTGCCCATTATTATGTAATTACTCTCTAGGTGTTCAACCCATTTGGTTTTAAAAAAAAATCTATTTTTTGAATGCCACACTTGTTAATGATATGGGTCTATAATTTAGAGGTTCCACTTGATTACCATTTTTATAGATTGGTACTATGTTTGCCTTTTTCCATATATCTGCTAAAATTCCTGTGCACAAGGATTTCTGGAATATTAATTGGAGTGGAATGCTCGGCTCACTTGCACATTCTCGCAGCACCCAAGGTGAAACTCCATCGGGTCCAACTGGCTTATTTCTTCCTAGCTCCTTGAGTAATTTTTCCACTTTGTCTTGAGATACTTCTATGTAGTCTATGGCATACTCTGGAATTGGTATTGGGTCCAGCTCTGAAATCCTCATTTTGTACATATTTTGGAACTGTTTATTTAGTGTTTCACACGTTTCTTTTTCATTCTCAGTAGTACTGTTCCCCATTCTCAATCTATTGATTTTATCCAATATTGCAGCTTGCTTTCATTGAATTTATAGAAAAGGCCTGGATCAGTTTTACATTTGCCCGCTATATCTTTCTCAAACTTCTTTTCTGCCTCTCTCCTCACTGTTGTGTAATTGTTTCTTGCTTGCTTGTAGTGCTGGTATGTTTGAGGGTTAGGCCTCTTCCCATATTGAACCCATGTTCTTGTCTTTTACTTTCTGGCCCCTCACAATTTCTGTTGAACCAATCCTGTTTTCTGGTCCTGTATTTCTGTTTTGGTATGAATGTTTGTGTACCTTCATAGTATATTTCGCTATATTTGACATACATCTCATTTACTTCCTTGCCAGCAACAAGTCTCGCCCAATTAAACCAAATAAAAAATTCTCTGTTTCCCATAGTGTCCTCTCTTGAAATAGTTTATCAACTTTTTCAATGTCCCCTTTCTCTTCTACATTATATTGCAAAGCATATTTAACTTCCAACAGGACATTAACACTCTTTCTAAAGGGAGAAAATTACTGGATGTCAAATATTTCTTCTTCTTTCCTGGTGAATATTAGATCCAGTATTGACAGAAATGTCAAATGTCCTCCATTCTTGCTTCATAGGCCTCCCAGTCTATTTTTTCAAGTTGAAGTCCCCCATTACCAATAATCGTGGTACCTACATCCTCAAAAGAGCAAAAGAACTCCCCCAGGAAGCGAACAAACAAGCAAAACTTTATTCAACTAACCCCTCACTCACCCGGAAACTGGCATTTCATTACATTCAATGCTGGTTTTCTGTGGGGAGCCACATTGGCTCCCTGAAGCTATCTACCCACAGAGAAGGTAAAACAGGGACCAACCAGGGAGGCGACAGCACCTCAGGTCTCAATCCGAAGAAGAGACAGTCGGCCGTGACGGACACCCCAAAGTAACATTAGGCCGCATAGGTCCTGGGACGTTCACGAGAAACCTTACAGTCTGTTTAACCTCGTGATCCCTAAACTCCAATCATTAGGTTTAGTTAGCCTGTGGTCTACCCTTGTGCCCATGATGTTTGGAAGTATACCATTCTGGTTGCTTTGTTTGTTAATATGTCCTGGGGTTGATCTTTTGGCATGGAGGTTTTGGCTGTCTAGCAGGGTTCTGGCAGCTCAATATTTAGTTAATGTTTCCAGGCTTCAGTTTCCTTTGTGGCATTGGGTCAGATTTCTTGATCTCAGTTCTCATCTTCATCTTGACTGCCTGCAGTTCTCATCTTCATCTTGACTGCCTGCAGTTCTACCTCCTCCCTATTAAGTCCCTGTCTTTTTTCCTTCATGGGTACTTAGCTTTAAGAAGCCACAAGGTACTTTCCCCAGAAAACCAGTGTTGAATGTAATGAAATGCCAATTTTTGTGTGAGCCCTGGTAGCTCCCTGATTTCCTACCTCCCTCCCTCCCTCCTTCCCTTCTAGGTCATTGGGCAAAGGTGTTGTATGTGCATCTCCTCCAAAACTGAGGGCTCAGGCCCTTCGAGGGCATGAGCCCCATTAACCTCTTCTTTCCGCATAAGTGAGGGAGGTATGGAGATTGAGCACACACTAGTTTCAAGAGATTTGATCATTTGTTTACATCTTTTAAAGCCAGCAGTTGCCTGATTTGGTTCACTGACTTTCTGGATGCTCGCCCCAGATGAGCAACGGCTTTAATCCCCGCCCCCCTCCTGTAAGACTAAGAACTCCACGGCTAATGTGACCTAGTAGTTGGGAGTCATCTCGGCAAGATACTTTCAAGGAGCCACTGGGGCTCACCCAGAAATTGGCATTTCATTACATTCAGTGCTGGTTTTTTCCTTTTTCTCAGATAAAATGCTGATAATGTTTATGTTGCCTAAGCTAAGGATGCATGTCAGCCAATTTACTTCTAAAATTACCTTTTCCTTGTCTTCTTCAGAGTGATCAACAGGGCCCCGGGTCTCAAGTTAGTGGTGCAAACATTATTATCATCACTTCAACCCATTGGCAACATAGTCCTCATTTGTTGTACATTTTTTATTATTTTTGGCATCCTAGGTGTTCAGGTAGGTGCTATTTGGAATTCTTCTCAGTTTAGTGAGTTTAGTGTAGGTTCATGAATGATATTCATATAAATGCTGCTCACTATAAGACTTAAGAGCTCAGTTGCCATGATCCAGGTCTAATTGTTTTGATTGAAGTAATTATTGTATTGTTATATACACAATTTTTTTGGCTTATTAGGTATCCTCATTAGGGATATCTTAAAGTTTTTCCATGCATCTTTTATGGGAGGGTTCCTAAGGTGGCTCCTTTTTGCTAGCTATCTGGATAGCTCCACTCAATTCAATCCACATCAGGCCCTTGCAAGCCATTGTAAGTCTACCGGAGACCAGAGGCCAAAGCCTGGCCCCTCTCTATAGAGGTGGAAGGACCAGAGAACACTAGATCACTTTAACCAAGAAAGTCATCAGAAAGGTGAGCAAGACTTAACTCTCAGCAAAGTAAATAGAACGCAGAAAATGAGAAACAAGACACCGAACCAAATGAACTACTCGGTCATGAAGCAGTTCACTCATTAGTTCCGCCTATACACTACCAGGTAACCTCACACTTCGCTCATAGGTCCCCTAGCCTTGAACATCAGTCATTTTGCCTGGCATGACCCATTAAGACGTCCCGATTACTTTCCTCATTTCTGCTAAACGCTCTTCGAGTTCTGGTTATTTAGTTGGTGTCATTCATTCTGGGCACAGTTCTGTATTCTGCAGGGGCCATTTACTTGTGTATTTGTTCTGTATTTTAGTACTTGATTGTTGTTCATGTACATTTCTGGGGAGCTCGCTGGTGGCTCCCTGAAGCTGTCTTGCTGAGATCGCTCTGTACTAATGGGTTACATCAGTTTTACCTACCAGAGACCAGAGCCAGAACCTGGCCCTCCTTTGAGAGGTGCAAGGAGTGAATGACAATTTGCCTTCCCACCTGGAAAGTATCCAGGAAGTCAGCAAAGCTCTACAGACAACCGGAGGGTTCACAGAAAACAGCCAAACAACTCCACAGACAATTCACACAGAACAAGAGATCCACTCAAACTAACTAAAAATTCATTAATACCGATTGCCTCCACTATGTAGCCCAGCCTCGTCCCACAGCTTGCTCCTCAGCTCATTTCTGTTGCTGATGTTCTGGTGGTGACTGCTGTCTGTAGTGTTCTGGTCAACTAGTTGTGGGCAAGCCTCCTCTGTTTCAAACTAATTGCTTGGCATCCTTGGATTCATTCATCTTCCAGGGGCCATTTGCTTGTTGTTGTGTTATTTTGTAAGGTTATGAGATTGGAAGCCGTACTCTGTACAGTACAACTAACAAAACCAGTTCTTACTTTCTTATGAATAATGGGAGGGATATATAATGGGGGATACTTTTCAACAAACATAAGCATTAGGGATGCATTGACTATTGGATTCACACAAAGTAGGACTTAGGGTCACCACAATATTCTACACTTCCTTGGTTAGCTATAAAGGCAACATGGGTTTTAACCATACACAAAATCCTGGCACTTTAACACAATTAGAGACCAAGGTTGATGGGGTATAGACCATGTGTCACAGAAATCTGAGTTTATGAACCAAATAACACAAAACACCACCTACACCCAGGGTTCTATAAACAAACTTAGTTTAAGACTGCCTATCCCTAACTAATACAGACAAGGATCTCCGTTATAGTACATCTGAGACACGATGCACTTATTGTTATTGTAGGAGACCGCTACATGCAACTCAAGTAACAACTGCCTTCTCCTGTCTGCCGCTGCAAACCAAATGAATGAGATAGCTAGCACATCTGTGGCCAACTGCCCGGTTCCAATAATGTTTCATACACATTTGTATCTCCCAATAGTTGATATTATTATTTTTTTTTTTTTTTTTTTTTTTTTTTTTTTTTTGAGATATATACAAGAGTTGTTACATTCTTGTACAGCCACTAGTTCGCGTAGCGTTTCGGGCAAGTCCTTAATCCTATGGTCCCTGGAATACGATCCCCTGCCGCGAAGAATCGTTTTTTCATCCAAGTACACATTTTACTGTTGTGTTAAACAGAGGCTACAGTTAAGGAATTGCGCCCAGTAAATCCTCCCCGGCCAGGATACGAACCCATGACATAGCGCTCGCGGAACGCCAGGCGAGTGTCTTACCACTGCACCACGGAGACTGCTCAATAATATACAATTTTAGTTGTATATTATTATAATAGTTGTATATTACTATTATGAGACTTGGTCTCAAAAGGTCATGAACAATTTCTTTAATATTTTGCCATCTGTGTACTTTGAAGTGATTCTTAAGTTGGAAATCGTAGCATATGCTCCTTGCACAATGTTCTTTATGTGGTCCTCAGGTGACAGTTTTATATCGAGAATCACCCTTAGATCTCTTTCATTATCAGAATTTGTTAGTTTTTATCATAAATTGTAAATTGTGTGTGGCCTATTTTCTACATAAGTAATAATAATGTTTTCTCAGACATAATAACATAGGATTAAAACCCACACTTATGTATTTTCTGTGGGAAGCCCTGGAGGCTCCCTGAAGTTATCTGAACTGATATGTGCTATTAGTTAAGAGGTCATCAGTCACAGTTCTTATGCCTACCAGGAACCATGATCCAGAACCTGATTCCCTCAGAGAGGTGCAGGGAGCAATGGCCTATGAGCACTTTACATTTAAAGTACTGTACCATATTTGCCAATGTAAAAGACGCACCCTCCCATAGGACACACCCCTATTTTACAAGGATATTTTGAGGAAAAACCTATTTTAGTATGTTTCATAATACATTTATTCCATCATTATTTATTGAAAGTTATATTTTAAAGTGGCTTTTGTACCCCAACTCTTACCTCCTCTAAGATCAGCTGTATAGTTTATATTTTGGGCTATATAGGATGTGAAACTTGTATTTCTGGATGTGATGTTTTGTGTTGGCGCATCAGGCCACCTAGGTGGCGCATCCGATAGTGGCTCTAGTTTTGTTGTCAATCACTCATTGCAAATGGTCGACAGACGAATGAAAGTTGAACATTCCTTTCAAATTTCTAGGAGCATTTTTCATTTAGATAATGAATAAATGTTTCTTTGTTTTTAAAAGGCAACACAGTTGTTAAATAGTGCATGATATATCAGGTGTGGGTTATGTATGCTGGGTATGGTGGTGAGATGATGTAAGCTTTCTTCATAACTGCCGACGTATCTCAAGCAATTTTTCGTAAGTTTGTGATAACAGACTGTGATAACTCGCCTTGTTTTAAATATTTTATTATTAGTAACACAATTTACTGTAATAATTTGGCTTGTTTTCAATATTTTATTATTAGCAGCCATTTTTGTGCCTAGTGAACTTGGCCAGTGTGCTCGTCAAGCTCCCTAGCCTATGGCGCTCGGACTCGCATCCATATTACAGCCACATTGGACGCAGAGCAATTTTTTTATACATTTAAAAATACAAAAAAGCGCATCTCATACACCAGCAAATATGGTATGTTATAATTGCCATCGACCGGGGAAGGACCCAGAAAGGTAGGCATTCTGGCAGTATTCCATGAGGCTCCCCCCTAACCTATGCGGGGTAGTGCTAACGTGCGGATGTGTTAGTCTTATGAAGGGTTGCTTGTTTGGTTTATTCTAGGGGAGTTATTTTGCTCTTTTTGGATGTAGCTTGAACAGGTTAACCAGAGAGTGATTTGTTTTGATTCGCCTACCTTTCTGGGTCCTTCCCTGGTCAGTGGCAATTATGACATACTTTAAATGTAAAGTGCTCATAGGCCATTGCTCCTTGTGCCTCTCTGAGGGGACCTCTCTGGCTCGTGGTTCTTGGTAGGCATAAGAACTCCTGTAACTGTCTACCCCAAACCAGTATGTCACATCAGTTCGGATAGTTTCAGGAAGCCTTCGGGGCTCACCCAGAAAATGACGTGTTATTACATTTGTGACAGGTTGTGGTATTGCAGCTACACTGAACCAAGATGGTATGGCTCATTGTCACATAAATAAAAAAAAATGCTGCTATTGGCCCTTGCAGTGTGTAAAGTCGCAGGTGGAAACAAATTAAAATCATCAAATAAATAATTAAAACAATTTACTGAAATGTTAATGAACAAAAATATCACCTGAGAATACTTGGCTGTTATTATATAACAAATCAAGTAAATGAAAGTTTAACTAATACTGCATACAATACAAAAGTATACTGGTGGTGATGAAGACTACCGTACCACCACAGCATCCAGCATACGACATTGGCTGAATGCAGACGGCGGTGCAGGAGGCTGAGGTGGTCCAAGAGCACTAAGAGAGAGACTGCATCTCCAGGTTGTTGTTGTTGTTGTGGTTTAAGATTCGCTACCTAGAACAATAAGTTCCAAGTAGCATGGGCTATGGTGCAACCCGTCCTCTTAAAAATAATGTCACTTTTAGCTCGTATGCTCACTATGGCCAAATTTGGACGTAATTTGAAATGAAATCGACTCACAAAAGTGACATACTGTTCCGTTTTCTGTTTGAGTCATCCGGCCTACTCGGTAAGGTTAGAAGAGGAAACTTTCAATTAACGTTTTTCATACTGTTTTGAAACTTTGAGAATTTCCTGCCCACCTAACCTATCAGAGGACCCTTAACTTACTGTTGTTGAAAAAAAATCCCAAATTTATTTTCATTTTTTTCATTTTCAAATTACGTCCACTTTCGGCCATACTGGTAAACGGCCAAAAGCGACATTATTTTTAAGAGGACAGGTTTTATGGTGAGCCTGTAGTTGGGCTCTCCAGTGAGGCAGTGCCCCTTATATAGTCCGGCGGTGATGACTCATCTGGTGTCAACGCAAGGTGGACATCTGGTCAACTAGCAAACTGCTAGTTTGTGGCTGGCGGTGCCTTTGTGTTGAGCTGCACCACTGCCAGTTGAAGGCGGCTAATTGCTTGTTTGTGAAGGCAAACTACCGGTTAGCAGAGGCGCCCGGCTTGCCTCTTGAATCATACCAGGCCGTGCCAGGCCCTGGGGGGTATGGA